GGTAAGCAGATTGGTGTAATATGTAGAATGAGATCGTTTTTTTAATTTTTGATAATTATATATCATCGATGATTATTTCCTCAGAACACTCAAAAAAATATTTCGCTGATGTAGTTAGATTTCTAGATATCGCAACAAGAATGTATCGCTATTTTTCGTATCTGTGAAAACATTGTTTGTCACATACAGAATTTATAGCAGTAATGTTCTAGCAATAGCTTCTGAAAAATTTAGGTGCCATTGCTAAATGTTATTCATTGCATGATCTAACACGTGATTGATCTTATATAGATAGGCGCTTTAGAGAAACTTTCTTTTTAAAGTTCACAAACAATACAGATATATATTCTGTTTCTGTCATCTAAACTGATTAAGTAATTACATATGCGATATCACAACAGTTGCTAATCATTTATCTGTTTTAGTTAATTTTTACACCTAGAAAATTTTAGCTATTATTGCAAGATCATTTTTTTGAGTGATGGCTAATAATAATCATATCTGTTTTGCGTAATAAACTCGCGTGAACTCCGGTTGGCGATTAGATATCTATTGTAAAATAGAAGCGTCACTGAATATCTTAATCTCATTCTTCAGATACCGATTAGATAATAACGGCTGGAAAATATTTTCCGGCTTTTTTAACCTTGCTTGCTTTCCACTCTCTCCCTCTCTTTTACGATGTTTATTTTCATGAAATATCAGGAAGTACTAAAAAGAAGATATTTCTTATAAAACAATTTAATAAACTTAATAATATTATATATTTAAAAAATTTTAATTTTCTTAGTATGCTTTTTTATAATTTCTATCATGTTATTATTTTTTAAAAAAGATTAGTTATTAACGACACATCGGTATACAATTTTTAAAAAAGACGAAAAGCATCAAAAATTCTTGAAAAGACGATGCGTTTGCAATAACGATGAAGCGTTTGCAAGGGGAACAGTTACGGCCTTGACTTGCTAATTAAATTCAACATACATATTCATTCATTCACAGAGGAAGTCCATACAGGTAGCGTCATCATTGTATTAGGCATCAGCCGTTTTTTCATTTACCGACATCGTAACGGGCGGTTTATCACGAGTATTGTAATTTCTTCATTCGAGAAATTTATTGAGACGCTTTAAAACAGAAAATATTTTTCTTTCTCTTTTCTTGTTGTATGTGCCAAATTATTTTTTCAAAGAATAAACTTAATCATAATGTATCATATAAAGTAGTGTGTAATTAATATTATATATCGAGTTTGTTAATATTGATGATTGATGATGTAATTAAAAAGATGGCAATTTTTTATGAAAAAAATAAAATGAAAAAGCGCTATTGTTCTATTATATTAAGCGCTGAACAAAATATGTAAACGGAAGCAAAGACCACCGATCAATTAATCATGCTTCGTGCCTTCCGGTAAATTCGAGTGTGTCCGTTATTTCTTAGAATTTGGAACTTGACGATGGTTGTAAAACGTGAGAAACATTTGTAATCAGATACCTGTTGCGCGTATAAAATCTTTCAATGAAAACCTCCAGAGTCTACCTCCGGAGCATATCAAGAAAGGACGTAAGATTACGTATCGCATACTCCTACGTAGGATATTTACGTTTCACATTTCCTTGTGTACGCCTTGATATATTTCTCCAATTGAATAGATGATAGATTGAGTGAAAAGATGATTATATATGAAGAAACAAATCGAGGACCTAAAAGATAATTTTTCTTGTAAAAAATTAATTTTGGACATAAAAAGTTCTTATTTTTTATCTAAAGTCGTTCTTTTCTCTATTGTATCATTAATAAAAATCACTCTGTAATATAAATATTTTCGTAGAATAGTAATTTCAACGCGTGTAAGATACATGAAGCGGACACCTGTTGCACGTTGGCAAACAATCAATCGATATCTGGTGATATTTAAAATTTGTTAGAACTGTACACATTTCTATCAATAAATATTTCTACAACTGATAAATCTGAAAAATAAGAATTATAATAATTTAATATAACAAGCTAAGCTAACTAAAAGATAAGTCGATGTTTTAAATATCGATTAAAAGAAAAAAAAAACATAAAAGTGTCGATTATATTAATAAAAAAAATTGATTTATTTTCCTTTAAATTTATTTTTTAAAGAAATCTTAAACAATATTTATTTATTTTGCATTTATATATTAATTTTATTTTAATTTCAAATTTACATACAGTTTCTCAATAAATCTATAGAAAAATATCCATTGCTAGATACAGTTGAAAAGTTTTATTAATTTTATTAATTAAAATAAAAAATGTTCTGTTGCATATCACGCATCCATAATCGTGCACATGCATATTAATATTACAAACATAGCATATTTACAATCGATTAGCTGAACAAATCAGTTTTATTAATTAAAATTAATTATAATAAAAAGTTTTCTATTACACATTACTCACCCATGATTATGCACATGTATATTAATATTACAAACATAGCATACTTGTATAAATCAATTTTTCTGTAAATTAGTTAGAATAAGGATTTAGGAATTTTAAACGAGGAAGAACAGGATGATTTTCTTAAGATATATATATTTTGTCATTTTCTAATTTAAAGTAAAAAATATTATATCATATTGTACATACATAAATATGTATAATAGATGTTATTTAAGCTAAGTCACAAATAATATAGATATATGATAAGATATAAAAAGAGGAAAGTATTTTATATAAAATATAGGCATTTAAAACATAGATATTTTCCAAAATAGAAACATGAGTAGAAAAATATTGAAGGTGATTCATTCCAATTCCCAGTCTTGAAAAGCAGGTGAACTAAGATAATATAACACCATGTTTAGATGCTCACCAGTTAATCTGCTTCGTTCATCATTTTTAATGTCGCCAGCTTGAGAGAAGATTCTTTCCGAGGGTACTAAAGTACCAAGGATACTAATGTATCTCACTGCTTGTTCATATAATTTCGGAAAAGTATGTTTCATTGATTTCCAGTATTGAAACGGATCTTCTTTACGTTCAATGGCTGGCTTATCCAAATATTCTCTTAATTCACTCAACCCTTCATTTAAATTAGTATTTTTCATTACTAGATGATCATGAAAGTCCCATACATCAGACTCTCTATTAATCATGTCCGTATTAAACTTTTCGATCATATTCTGTGGATTGTTTGGAGTTGTATTTTCTTTCAATAATAATTCAATTCGAGATATTGCAGATTTTGCAGCTAGAGCGTTTTCAAAATGTAATTTCTTGAAACGAGGATCAAGTATTGTGGCACAGCTTTTTATTTTATCATTTTCAAAATTTTCGCATCGATTTTTAATTGCTGATTGAAGTTTCTCTTTAAACTCAATTCCCATTTTTGTATTAGGTTTGTTGTAATATATTGAGGCCTTCATACAGTGCACTAAAGGTATAATGACGCTACAAGTTGCATATGATTCTCCACTAACTTCAGTAATAACATTTGCAATTGGTTTTATAAGTGATACCATATCTTTCAATATTTGAATTTCATTACGCTTTAACATATCTGGAGGATTATCACATTTAGATATTACTGGATAAACATATTGTTCAAGTTCAAGAAATCTATTTAACATATAAAATATAGAGTCCGAAGAAGTAGTTACGTCTTGTATAAATTTTAATACTGTTCCTTCGGTTTTTCCATCATGTAATTGTAAATTTTTTAGTTCGTCGGATGCGACAACGCTGCTTCTTACAATTGTAATAATTTTCTTTACTTTAGAAATAATTTCTCGAACATGAGGAATGTTGATTAGTGCATCCGATACAATGAGAGATAAAATATTTGCGAAGCAAAACAAGTGTTTATGTGTCCCTATTGTTTTCTCTATCGCAAGTTGAACATTTGCTACATTGTTCGTAATGACTGCTGTAATTTTTGAATGATCTAATTTGAAATTTTCAATAACTGTATTTAAAAAATAAGCGAGATATTCAGCAGTGTGATTTTTATGCAACGGAAAAACACCGATACAACCACTTTTCATTTTGAGTTCTTCTGTTAAATAATGAATAGTTACACCAAGATAACGTTGATTAGTAATAATTGCCCAATCATCACAAATGAGACTATAACAAATAGCTTTTTTGATTTTAATTATAAAATTTTCTTTTAATGTTTCGTATCGCATTTTTATCAATCTAGTTATTGTTCTTCTGCTGGGCACCTTATAAAGAGGCACAATGGTTTTCATCAACCATTGAAAACCTTCATTTTCAACTGTTGTCAAAGCCATTTTATCGGTCACAATCATGTATAAAATAGCATTTGTTATTTTATCAGTCTTATGCCCATCATCTAAAAAAATTAAGGTAGATTTTTTATATTAGATCGTTAAAAATTTTTTTGTAGATATAAAAATAGTTAATTTCAAGCATACATACTCATAAACAAATTTGTTTGCTCGAATACTTTTTCAATTTTTTTCTGTTTTGTCTGTAAAATATTTTAATTATAGTTAAATTTTTGTTTATTTACTTAATTTTTTCACTTAATTAATGTTTGCTTTATGCATTAATTATTTACCTTTATAGAATCTGTCTGATCAACATCACGTTTTTTTTTAGTTATACTTGCAGACCATAATACCACATGTTTTCGCTTTAGATGCTGTTTCATATTTGATGTATTTCCACAATGTTTGCAAACTTTATTACATAAAGTACAACGAGCTGTTAACCTAGTTACACTTTCAAAAAATTTCCAAACAAGACTAGGTCGTTTTGATCTGTAAATCATTGAAAGATAGAAAAACAATTTTCATATAGTAAAATAGAAAAGTATAGAAAAATGGAAACATACCGTATTATTCCTTTTTCAGTCTCAGATATTTTTGATTGAATTACATCAGATATTTTTTGACAATCAGCAGTTTGTGCAACTTGGTAGGTTTTCTCTATATTTTCTAAACAATCTGATGCAGAGTCTATATCCACTTGTTCATAATTTGAGGAATCCATAATGTTACTAGATGCAGCTGTATCCGAAAATATTTTTGAAGATTGTGTTTCAGTTTCGATTTCAATTAGATCACTTAAAAAGAAAATATTAATAAAGTTTTCATAAATGTAAAAAAAATTGATTATGGTTGTAAAGAATATCTTTTATCATATATATATACACATACTAGTCGATATTTATCGATTTATATGCTTCTATTTTATCCTCAACACTTGTTTTTCCGTATTCCATCATGTTTTCATATGAATTTCTTATGCACTCTGCTGGAACAGATAACACTTACAATTAGTTCTTGTATGTAATACGAGTATATATAAATTATTACCTAATCTTTTGCCTCTAACCTAACCTAACTGATAGCCCGCGCAAAATACAGCATAAAGACAATTGAAGACAATATTTATAACTTAACTTTATTCTTTTATGGACCCCTTCTGGAGGTCGACTCTGGCTGTGTTCCGAAATTCACTGTCGGTACTAAAAATCTATAGTTTACGTCACGTATATTGTAGATTTTCAGTACTGGCAGTGAATTTCTGAACGCAGCGTCTGTATCATGCAATGATAATCGATTAATTGAAAAAAAAACTGTTGGTTACTTCGATTAATCGAGATCGCCCATCCTTACTAGACATCCTAGAAAATGGAATATCGCAGAGACGACGACGACGATGACTTTAAATAGATTTTTCGACATTTTGACTTTGGACTATTATATCTTTGTTTATAGAGCATGTAGAGTAAAAACAAGTATACTTTTATAACATAATTTGGATATGCTCAATCGATTGAGCCTGTTTTCAAATCGATCGGCCCAGGCGTTATTGAGATTCGATAATCTCGGTTGCTCCTCAGCTCGTAGTCTCACGTATAAATGCACGGTCGCTCTTTTGCGCATTGTGCATGAACTTGGCGCGAGACTCGACTGTATCTCTTGATTTTAAATTCTTTGTAATTAAGAAAAATAACTAATTATTTAATTTTTGAATTGTCTTTCTGTTTAATCAAGTTCTATTTTTTAAATATTCCAGATCAAAATATGTTATTTTATATAATTGATTCGTTGTCAAAGATTCATATTTCATGCGAGATGTTTCGCATCTCATTGTCACAATTATGTAGCAATTATGTTCAACTAGCCACTCGCTCTGTCGCTTCCCATCTGACAAGAGACAAAACAGTCAGATCAATTCCTATTACTGTAATTGCTGTAAACATTTCCTTTATGCGTCCATCATAGCATCTACATTGTTAAAAAAAGCACATCATTCTCTCTTATAAATTCACAATCGTATAACATGTTTCGCGATAACGTAAAGACGCATAAGAATTTTTTTAAGAATTAAAATGCTGCTCTTTCGACTCTTCAACAAAAAACGCACTATTAAATTTTATTATATATATGTATATTTTTTTTTTACGCCCAGCTTTGAGTATCTTATCTAGTGTTACTGAATGCCCATCACTCGTAACAATACGAAATACTTTTGCAACGCCTTTTCACGGAACGAACCAATCGTTTCACAGCTGATCTCTCATTTCGCATGGTATTAAATTACGAGTGGTACATCTGGAGCATCATATCGCGGTGTTACAAACGGATTAAGTTGAGTTAAAGGCGTTATGCCTGAGTCAACGCTTATTTTAGAGCAATTAAGACAGCGTACGAAAGCAAATATTTTTTACCATCATCTCCCCTTCTCTGTTAGCATATGATATGTATATATATCTCGCGGTGAACTTTATATTTATGGATCCTATAACGAGTCTTCCGTTTGATGAGCTAATTTGTTGCCACATTTTGATTAGATATTTTTTTCTTATCTTCTTAACGAAAAAGCATTTTTTTTTTCATTAACACAAATGTATATTTGATGTGTAATTTTATATTAATATCTAATAACATTGATTGTTGGCAGATTTGATCAAATTGTTAACATTTTATTCAGTGGGTGGTTACATACAGTTGGCGATAAGTATCGATGCATATTAAATTTACGCGCATTCCTACTGTTAGGTCACACTAGCACCGTAATCGATGTCAATCGATCATAGCGATTACATACCCTCCGATTGCTTGTACCATGAAAATCCGATTACGCTGCGCAGCACGATGCCCGAGGCTTGATTTGAATAGAAGTAACGCAACAGGTCTGCCAATTTGCATATCTTTCACCGCTGTTGTCGACTGCATACCCTCTGTTGTGCCTTACCTTAATTGCTGACATTTATGCTTCCGGCTATGCATGAGTTAAAAAATACAAGAATTTTCTATTTAATTTTGATTGATTAATTACACAAATTGTAAAAAATAAAAGAAGAAAAGAGGAAAGCGATGCGGGGCGGTTAATCGAGTGAAAAACCTCACAGACTCGAACCGTGCTTCTGGCCACCATGTGATATATTCCGGCAACTACACATATGCCCGCCTTTGTGCACCGCAAGAGGGTGGCTTGACAATGCTTGAAGCACGCTTTAGACTTCGAAGTGAAGAGAGACGGGGGACATGAGTAGCGCACATCGGCACTTGGACAACGCCTTTGTTGGGCGCGACTCAGACTCGGATCTACAACCTTTTCCATCTTTTTCTTCAAACAAACGTTAAAAACGGTGTTTGACACATGGCAGATTGCCAAGATACTACTGCAAAAAAAATTGCCACGAGTATGCTAGGACGCTATTATGGCATAAAAGTCTGAAATTTTTTGAGATTGTACTGCTCTAATCTTCGCTGTTTTATCCGACTGTTTGATTCATCCCTGAAGTATTGTCTCTCCCTAAATCTTGACGTGCTCGGTAGTACATGTTCTTACAACCCTTCACAGCGTTGAATAGGTCGCGTTTATTTGCACGAAACGTTGAGCGATATACGCGTGAAAGAAACCTGGTTTTCCGCGCTGGAATTCGCATAAGGGAGAAAGGGGGGGGAGAAAGGAATTATGAGTGCGCCTCATTATTACGTCGCAATTTTATATCCCAACTTCCGCCTGGCGTTTATCGTCGGGGAGGGAAAAGGGGATATTACGCACCGCCACGTGCGTACCCCAGCTTTGTTCCCTTATTAAAGCTCACCCTTCTTACGGCGAGCGACGTTTGTAAACGCTCCTTCGTAGTTTACATAGGCCGCACGTGGCTCCTGCACAAGCATACCGTCGTTTACACATATAACGGATGTTCATCACAGCTTTGCAATACCGCCACCGAGGATTTAACTCTTTCGGCACTTCCGCAATCATGTTTTAGTCCGAGAAAATTAGTAAAATCGGTTTCAGTTCAAGAATATCTTTTTTTTGTCACTTAAAGAGTTATTTTATTTATGGAAAGATATTTTACTGTATACTAATAATTATTACACTTTCGTGATTTACCTTCAGGGATCGGGAAGCCAATTTTCCAGGCTCAATTTTTGTAATAATTTTTCGCAAAAAATATCTATCTTGAATTTTGCCTGTAAAATTATTTTGGCATGTGTATCAAAATTTAACACCGCAAAGGTCACGAAATATCCGTCTGTCTTCTAAAATTGGAAGAATTAACAGTGTTCAGAAATTGCGTGTTATTGAATTCGTTTCGTGAAATTTACTCTTGCGCGTGCCAGACTATCCAGATCCAGACACGTAGATGTTAAAATAGAATCGTCTGCTCGTCATATCAGGAAACGGTGGTTGTTCCGCTTCTGGATAGCGTCGCCCCTCAAATCACTTTCGAGAGAGCGTTCTTCCTCCCTGGAACTCTCCGACGACGGACGTAACGAAAACAGGCGGCTTCTGTTTCGTACCAGAGACCGATTTCACGTGCTCGGAGGCCGCGAATGTCGCATACAGGTCATACTCACATCCTCTTGAAGAGGTATAAATAAGCGCCATGCGCAAATATCGCGGTCGTTGCTACCGCGGACGTGCCGTAAGAGCAATCGGCGAACGCGAGTCGAATAGTTTAATCAACGACGCTTTGATTTTACGTCTTTCTATAGTTGCACGTATAGGCAACTAGTTCAAAAATACTTCAATCCTGTTCTCTAAAGAGACGTTAAAAAATATAAGCTTGAACTTATTGTCGAGTGAATGTACGAATACATTTCTAGGTTCATATATATTTATTTCGTTAGAAAAGAATTTTTTAATTGTGCAACAATTTATATAACACCGATTTGTGTTTTAAGATTATTATGCATTATTCTTATACCGCAGAGTTCTAACATATCATTTTCTCCAGAGGAAACTGTAGATGCGTATTTCTCAATTTATCCATATATAGAAACGTTTGACTTCTATTCAATTAGAAAAGAATCAGTCAAAGAATCTCCAAGTGAAAGGAACGACGCGAATGGTGGGACGTATATATGTTGCTACATCGACACACACACACACATACAACACACGCACACAGAGAATCTGTAATTTAAAATTATATATATTAAATTATTTCAATATCGTTTCGATGACATATTTCCGGCAGTGGAAAAATGCGGGTTACAACCGGCAGTCCAGGAAAAGTATGTAGTTCTTGATCGTTTGTGTGTCACGAGGCCACTCCTAGCGGTACACACTGTGTATGCCGGCGCATATATTGTTATGCGACGAGCACTTTCTTCTTGTCTCGCGTGTTGAATCAACATGCCGTTTGCTCTTGTCGTGTATTTTTTTTCACCTTAAGATCGATGTTCTTCATCGAGGACAAGGATTATTTGTTCCAGAGAGCTAAATAAACAATTAATAGCACGAATAATAATAATAATTGATATAAATAATAATCCTTGATTAAAAAAAAAAAAATGTTTCGAGAATCCACATTTCACGCCATCACAAATTTTTATACGACTGTAAAGACGCAAACGAAATAAAATCAACAGCTGCCAAGGAAACATTCGGAGCGCGTTAATTTCTACGTTGCGTGTTGAGTTGCGTGTCTAAATCGCGTTACGCATCTTCTTCTTCGTGTATTCGTGTATCCTTCGCTTGTATAGCTGCCGCGCGACTTTAATGTTTCAAGATAAATGTGAGTGCTGTCCCATGTTACACATTGCACTTTAACATCTCGTCATTTCCTCGCGGAATGTCGGGAAATGTCAGTCTCGCCACGTTTTCGCTGAATCAGATGCAACCTATGATCAATATTTCTAGTCACATCAGTGATTCCTCTTCCAAGCATTTCTAGCGATTCCCGACACACTGGGCGATTAATATCTTCCGATAACTACTGTAGTTATTGCAAGCAGTTGGAATTTAATATACAGATCGAAAGAGCGCGAAGATTCACGATTTTAATCGTTGCGACATTTTATGGATGTGTTATCTCGCCGTGTGATTATCACAGTTAAAAGTGGAGCAAAGGAAAACGCAGATGGAAACGAGAGAAAAAAACAGGGCAAGAGATAAATTTGTATTTCTATCGTGTGGGCGGATCCGAGAACTCGCGGACTGCTATTCAAATGCAAAAACAAGCAGTTGAACAAGCGAACGGCCGGTCTCACGCCGCACTAAAATCCGCAAAATATTTATAGATCACAGCTGCGATAGCAATGAATCCAATTTGCGCCGTAAACGTGTCATTTTCCCAATTTATCGAAACAGAAGAAGTATTTTGTCTGATTGTGTAGTAAAATTTCTTATTTTTTCCGTAAGATTATTTAGACTGTTTTATTTATAACGCATTTTCACTCATTCGGATTTCGATTGGCCTTCTTCTTGTTACGACAAGATTTTTGAGAGAGAAGAAAAGAGTATGCTTTTTGCTGTATTGAGCCGTAAATATTTTCTATCTATAATTAGATTGTAATTGTAATATTACTATTTCCTCTCATTCATATTCAATTTTATGGTCTCGCTTGTATCGCTTAATGCGCAGCCCCTCGCAGTCGCAGTCCCATGTGCATGCAGTTTAATGGTGGTTTTAAACGATCCCCTCGGGCGCCTCACAGATTTTGGGACCCCAAAGTTAAGCGACGCATAGGAAATGGATCATAGTGCGATGCGAACAGCTGTGAAAATTGACTTCTCGGCGAAGCGTAAACGCTCGTTTGCTTCACATTCCATCGACGAGTCGTTGGGACGTGAATAGTCCGCCATCTCTGCGGTTTCAAAAGAGACGAAACCTTTGAGTTACCCTACACCCTTCTCGTCTTCACACCCAATCATGCCCGCTATTAAGGTCCTTAGGTATATTTTAGTGGAGATGGACGCACGCAAATATGTCGCATTCTCAATTCGACGAATCACTGAACTTTTTTTCTTTTTTCAAATATTCTTGTAGTTCATTCTACAAGTATATCATATACGATTCACCGTGTGTTTGCGAAAAGAATTAGTTGTTATTTTGAAGAGAAAGGAACACATTTGATATAACCCATACAGCACACAAAGATTGCATACACATTGCATCAATCTTTCATCGCAATGTTGCAATATTGCAAATTTACTGCAAAATGTTGTTGCATTATTGCTGTGGGATTGCAGCAACGTTAAAATGTTCGCCTTTAGGAAGATTGTAACGAAATATTACAGCAATATTGTAATGAATTTGCAATAATGCATTGTTATTGCAATCTTAGAATAATGTTGCATATAAAAATATTGTCTCTATACCCATACAGCACAGAAAGATTGCAGACATATTGCAGAATAATTTCATTGAAACATTGTAAAATTATTCGGACATTTATCTGTCCGATTTCTGAATAATTAGGTCAATATCTGAATTCCCTGTGTTATGGTCGGAAAAATTTAATTGATAAAAATAGTTACTATGTCTTTAATCTTACTAGCCACTCTTTGCAAGTTTTATATAATCATCATGACTAAAACTTAAATACGAGATAGATTTTGCGCGTCGCATAGCGGTAAACGAACGAACTAGCGATTACCGAATATTGCTTTTGTAATGTTTTTGGAATGTTGCTGTCACATTCTCATGAAATATTACAATTACATGTTCCAATAATGTCTCAACAATATTACATTGCAAGATTGTAACATTGCTGCAATGTAATTGCAATGTTCTGTGCTGTATGGAATATTTCCGCCGGAGTCTGTTCTTTTATTTGTTTTTTAATTTTTCTCTCTCTCTTTTGTGTTGCAGACATCGCCATGGACTGGTCGGATCACGCACTTTGGTGGCCGGCACGAAACCACTGGTTGACCAGAACACGTAGCACCTTGGATCAGTACGGCGTAGCGGCGGACGCGTTGCTGCATTTCACGCCGATGCACAAGACCCTGAGGGTACAGCTGCCGGATACGCGTTGCATCGACTGCCGCGTCGATTTTTCCGTCAAGACGTTCAACGCGGTTATTAACTTGTGCAAGGAACTCGGTAGGTCGCGCAAACTTGTTAAAGAGAGCAATAGAAACGAGCGCGACGCGAGTCAATCAGACAATTATTGTCGCGTGTCTCCATCAACGAGACAATTACGAGAAACAAGAGTATTTCTGTCCGGAAGGAAAATTTTCTGTTCTCAAGAAACCGCAGTTTAGAGGAAGTGTATTTAATCAGAGATATCCTGCGTACAGTATAGCGTAATATTTCAAACCTTGAGAAAAATCTTTGGTATATATTTTTTTTGCTATGTAAGAAAAGATTTATTACTTAAAGTAGAAGAGCTAACTAGGTATAAGAAAATCAGCTCAATTACACTAATTGTAAGTTTACAGCCAAAAATTATTTTGAATCAAACAAAGTGTTTCTTATAGATTTTTGGATGCTGAATAACATGGCCAAAAAGTAAGATATTGAAATTAAAAAAATGTATTTTATAGGGAATGAACAATACATTCATGATTTCTGATCAGAATTTTAAGATACCGTTAACCTTTCTTAGAAAAAAATATCAAATATCGCAAAAAAATCCATTTTTTACATATTAAACCTCAATTATTTTAGAAACCTGACGTGCTGGTGAAATTTGGTTTGCGGCATCGTTTTCAACATCTAAAAATCTATAAGAAACACCTTGTCTGATTCAAAATAATTAACAAAAATTTTTTTGTAAACTAGTGTTATCTAAGTTTACTATTAAAAAATTGTATTAAAAAACATTCACGGAACATTGAAGACATGTCGCATTATGTCATTTGTTGCGTAATAGCAGTCTGGCTTCTAAGATTATTTAGACTTTACATCGCATCATCTTTTCAATAATAAGTTAATTAAGAAGAAAACACCAAAATAGTTTTCTCAAGTTATAAATTTTTTTATTTTTGAATTTTTGTAATTTTTTGTTAAAATAATATGTACATAATAAATAAATTTAAACAGTTACAGTTGAGCGAGCGCATGGTAAAGTACGTTTTCAAGTAATCGTGTCAGCAGTAATATTATACGTGATAATGAAATAGAAATGATGATAAATTTGCAGTCACGCGAAGGTCGTGTAGACTGCCGCGACTGTCAATTCGCTGCCACAGCGAAGTCCGTGCTAGCTTTTTAATCAAGGAAGTGGGATAACGCGATAATTTTGCCGGATAAAGCTGACTTTCGAACAGAAGGAAATGCTAGAAGAGATATCAGCTTATCATTTTGTAATGGTGCGTAAATAATTCAATTCGGAGAATCGCAAGCATAATAATGTTGAAAATCATCGAGTTGATTGTTCGTCTTATTTAACGTATATTTTACATATCAAAATCTTTAGAGATTTTAAGATAGATGAAACAGGGTTTCTTTAACGTATGTTTTCGACAGTTTAAAAATGAAATTACATGCAAATGACAAATAAGTCAGATTATCAAATCTTATAGAGTGTTTAAAATAATGTTATTTATTTCACAATAATAGTCCAGCTATTATAATTCTTTGAATTGTACAATTATTCGGCACAGAAACAAATTGATATCACTTTAGGAAATCAAAGTGGAGTAACGCAACTAGATGCGTTATTTGTTATCGCTCATACCGCGCATTTTTGCGCTTCTGCCGTTGCATAGTGATTCTATTACTACATTGATGAATGAGATCAGTGTGTCATGTTCATAAATAAACGTTAATACGCAGCGTATGCCACTGCACGCGATCTTTATCCCTCAATTAATTTACTGTCGCAAGAACTGGGCAATGAATACTATGATTGCATGATTACTTCGCTTCTTGATTTGAATAGAAGTATGAATTTTTTTCATCCGTATGAATTCAACTCTAGAAATAACATGCAAATTGTCGATCTCGTTGCAGGCATTAGACATCCAGAGGAGCTTTCGTTCTGCAAGCCGCTCGAACCGAATCACTTGAAGTACAATCTGAAAGATTTACCGGCCAAGAAGAAGATTGAGAACCAGAAGAACGGTCACATTAGGAACGTGCCGGCCGATACGAACACTTTTATCCCGGCTAGCCAGAGTCCCAGAGGATCCACCGGAAGCTTAGATCAGTCCAGTCCGTTTATGTGCGCGCCAGTCACGCCCAACAACAGAAATCACAGCACACCGATCAGTTCTCCTGTCTCGGTACGTATTGTGCGCAAAATTTTGGATAGAGCGAATTTTGTTATATCGGTTTCTGTACTTATTAATTTACGCTGTATAAATTTTTAGCACACCGGCACATGGAAGAGAAACAACTCTTCCGGCTTCGGCAGTACCGGTTCCTTCAATGCCAACAACAGCACTATGAGCCTCGAGGCGCTGAACGGCGGATTGACGGAATCCTTGGCGCAGAGTCCGACGTCGATCTCGCCGGAAGCGCGAACGAAGCTGATCAGACCGAAGAGCCTGATCGAGAGAGCGAGGATGAATGTCGCCTGGCTGGACTCCTCTCTGTCGATTATGGAGCAGGGTATCCGCGAATTTGATACGCTCAGGCTAAAGTTCAAGTTCTACTCTTTTTACGACCTAAATCCGAAGACCGACGCGGTTCGAATCAACATGATATTCGAGCAAGCCAAGTGGCAATTGCTCGCGGAAGAAATCGACTGCACCGAAGAGGAAATGTTGATGTTCGCAGCACTTCAGGTATTTAAAACAATTATGCTTGCATAAATGGGATAAAAAGATATTTATATTTATCGTTATCTTTATTCATTATTCATGTCACTTGTTTTCATTTATTTTCTTATGCGTTAGTTGTTTTATTCTTTATTTGAAACTTCAATATTTCGGAACTATTTATTAAAGAGCAAAGGAATATATTTACACGATTTCTCGCTTCTGACATCATAATCGATTAGGATCATCGAGTTTTTCTCAAAAACTGTCGAATTCACGTATCTGAATGTTTAAATTATTCTATTTTCTGCAGAAACCGTATAGAGATTTCTTTACAAAAACATCGTAGGCATATAAACGCACTGTGTATAAGCAGATACGAATTTCTTTGACGCTTTTTCCGTTTTTGTGATTGAATTGCATAGCTTATTCTCACTCGCTCGTGTTATATTTATGCTGCTGCGAGGGAAGAACCCCACGCGGCGCATAACGCATGCAAATAGCTGAGTCCTTCAGCCAATTGCTTCGCCAGTCGATGTTCCGCCAGACCGTAATGCCGTCACGCGACAACATTACCGAGAAAAGATGCGATCGCCTCGCCTCGACCCACAAAATGTGTCTTGTACATTTCGTACACCCACTCACCTTCGTCCTCGCAACGAATGTCAGAGAGAGAGAGAGAGAAAAAAAAGGAAATCTACAGTTAATGTCACCTACGCTTTTCTGTCGCAGGTACAAGTGAATCTTCAGGCGAGCGTGCCGCAGCCCACGTATGACAGTAATGGGGCGACCTCGCCCGTCGAGGATGACATCGACGCGGCTTTAACGGATCTGCAGGTGACCCTGGAAGGCAGCAATATCAGCAACGGGCCCAGCGACATCACGCAAGTGCCCGAGCTCTGCGATGAGCTGCGTTTCTTCAAGCCGAAGCGCTTCACGCTGAAGGCCTTCAAGCGTTATTGGTTCACGTGCCGCGATCTTCAGCTTAGACTCTACAAGAACAGGGAAGAAGCGGGCGGCTCGGAATCGCCGGTCTACGTGATCAATTTGCGCGGCTGCGAAGTCACGCCGGACGTACATTTGTCGCAAGGTCGTTATGGAATTAGGCTAGAAGTGCCCAGCGCTGAAGGCATGACCGAGATGTGGATCAGATGTGACAACGTAAGTGGATTAATTCGTGTTAACCCGATAAAGTGTTATCAAATAGCAATGTTGTTATATTAATTATTTCTATATTTGCGTGATGTTATGCGTAAAACAAGATATATAATAATATGGAATATATAAATAAAAAATAAGAGGAATAAATTGATGTAATTTTTACGAGTAATGTTTGAGCTTTTCTTGAAATCTATTTTCTTTTTTTTTTGTTATTCCAGGAGCAACAATACGCAAAGTGGATGGCTGCGTGCAGATTAGCAGCCAAAGGCCGTACTCTCGCCGACGCGTCTTATGAGAGCGAGGTCAACAGCATCACAGCCTTTCTGCAATTGCAGAGGCCCGCGCCCGCGCCGGCCATCAATCCAAATGCTTTAGACATCATACCGGAAGACTACGTCGCGCCTAGATTCGCAAAAAAGTTCAAGGGAAAGGTAGCGGATCGCTTGTTTGGTTACAATTCGGTTTACGCAAATAATCGGATTAACAAGTTCTAATAATACTTTTTTTCTCTCACGTAGTTGGTTCAAAGAATCTTGGAAGCGCACGCGAACGTTAAGGACTTGCCTCTCGTCGAGGCGAAGCTGAATTATATCAAGGCCTGGCAGTCTCTTCCGGAGTACGGTATTTCGCTCTTTGTTGTACGATTTACAGGTAAGAACAAAGACGAACTGCTAGGTATCGCCAACAACAGGCTGATGCGGATGGAGCTTCACAGCGGCGATCATTTGAAGACTTGGAGGTACAACACCATGAAAGTATGTATTTATTTTTGATATTTTCTATAGTCTTTGAAAAATTATTTAACTGCCCTGATGGAAATATTTTGCTGAAAGTACTATGAAATCAATGAAAAGTAAAATAAAAGTTTTTGAAAAATTACTGAATGTATTTCAAAATAAATCATAATTTTTCGTATGAAAATTTAATGTGTGTGTAATACTATGAAATATAAGGAAAGTTAAAATATACTGCTGAAAAGTAATAAAAGAGTTTTGAAATAATTATTATTCTGAAATTTACTGAATTAAACTGAAAACTTACTTTTTAAAATTGCTGAAATATTTATGAAATTAATTAATGGGGTTAACTGAGAGAAATTTTCAAATACATTTCAGCAAAATTTTGTTAAATTTTCAGAAAAATATTTCCATCAGGGTGTCGTAGCGGATTATTTTACAATTAGTTTTCGATTAAACTTCTTATTTTGTTTTGAATAATAATATTTTTACGTATTCTAATTTATGTCTGCTTGAAATCGTGAAACTTTTAGGTAAAATTCAAAATAGTACGTTAAATTTAAGCCTAATATTTTGCCAAGCACTTATCTAGTTTATTTTAGGCATAAAAACTGCGATTTTAATGTTAAAATTAACTAAAGAATTGATAGTTAAAAAAATACGCGTAAAACATTGTATTTGAAAAACGTATATAATTTTGTCCCTTTCATAGGCATGGAACGTTAATTGGGAAGTAAAGCACATGATGGTACAATTCGAGGAAGAGAATATCATTTTCGAATGTCAATCAGCGGATTGCAAAGTTGTCCACGAATTCATAGGAGGCTACATCTTCTTGTCGATGCGTTCGAAGGAAGCGAATCAAACATTGAACGAGGAGATGTTCCACAAATTAACTGGTGGATGGGTTTAATTCATTTCTTTTATAAAATCGAGTGTATAAAACCAAAACGGGTTCTAATACTTTCTAAGAGAAATAACGATGAATAAAATATTAATCTACGTGTCGCGTCCAATGCGCATTGTCTGTTCCAGGACTGACGTTTGCATGTAAACTGACACTTGTAAAAATACTGAAATCTGGTCGTAGTTATCACATTTTAATGTTGTACGCTGTAAATAGAAAATATTGTATCACTTCTAGACACAAATGGAAGAGTTTTAGCATTATTGTAGTTAATTTGTTTGGCTGAGGGCTACTTCGAAAAGATATTTACTGGTGTGACCGAATCATTTTATTTATTAAGTATTAAAGTTGACAATCTTTAAATTATCTCTTCTTTTTTACGAAAAGTAATCCTTTTTTTACATTTACAAATAGAGGTCTGCAAAACTGTATTGTACGATCATGGATTACACTTTTATACAAAACTTTTTCTATTCATGAAAAATTTATCATCAAACAATACTAAATTTACGAACGGATACGTCAAGCACGCAGAAGCAAAATCTGCAGCACATGAAGTAGAGTATTAAAGAACACTTTACAAGAACGAAATGTCGATTCTTATTTAATTTGATCATTGTTTTTACTTACTAGTAGTTGCATAAAATTTAAATGATTAATGATTATAGCCCTCTTTCTCTCACGTATTAATCTCCTCTTTTAGTGTCACAAGGTGCTATATCGAACGAGCTCGATTTCACACATAAGAGACCGAATCATGTAAATTATTTGTTATTTTAATGTAAATTAGATATAGAAGAAAAGTATATCACTTAATACCGTTATACACGTTGCATCTACAGAAGAAACCACACATTACATGTATGTGTAACAAAAAAAGATTATAGTTTTGTATATTAATATAGATTAATTGTACAATAAACCTATTAATACATTTGACAGATTTTTCAATTTTTACTTCTTTTGTCATGAAATAAATAGCTACTGGATGAAAAATTGTGTTTAGCTCGGGAAACTTTGTATTATCAAGAGATACGTCGTGTTTCTACACGCGAGACAGCGAGCTGAGAAGAGCTGAGATTATCGGATCTCAATAACATCTAGGCCGATCGATTTGAAAATAGGCTTAATCGATTGTGCATACCCAAATTATGTTATAAAAATATGTTTGTTTTTACTCTACGTGCTCTATAAATAAAGATATAAAAGTCTAAAGTCAAAATATATTTTGATGTAAGAAAAGTTGTAGCGCTGTTTGAAAAGAATACAACAATGTATGATTTAATATAAATATTTTACATATTATACGAGTTTTATTGGCTTGAAATATCGCGGGCGACGTCTACCTTTTCACTTTCGTCCCTGTGATATGGCCAACTTCAAGAATTTATTAATAATTAACAGCGCTATAACTTCAATTGACATACGTCAATCTCTAACGCATGAGTTAGAACTTGGCTATATCACAGGTCTGTAACAAAATGCAAAGTATTATCAAATTGACAAAAAAGTGACTCATTTTTCCTTTTATTCGTTTAATTACAAAAATCATATAACAAAGATCATAAAAGAATTTTTGATTAATGTAATGAAAGTATACACACTGTCAAAAAATTCGATAAATTTGCACAAAGAAGGTGTAAAAATTACATAACAAATAATGAGAAAAAATATTAAGTGAATAGTATAAAATTTATGAAATTATATAAATTTGTGATATTTATTTAGTAAATTTCTGTTATTTATCATGTAATTTTTACACCTAGTTTTGTAAATTTATCAATTTTTTTATAAAATGTCCTGTTTAATTATAGTATTACCTTATTATAATTGCATAATTCGATATTAATCGTATTCTTACTCATAATTGTCCATCTTCATGATATTTCTGTTCTCTCTTACATTTGTACGTTTCGTAAACATGCGGATTAGTTCTCTACGAAAAGTTTGTCCTGTTGCACAGTAGATAACAATATTTATACTATAATGTGCTGTGTCTAATAAGCCGATTATTGAGCCCATAACTGACACATTGGCATATAATGTTTACAGGTATCTGTAAACATTATTTAGTTATTTTTGTTATATATAAGTATTAATAATAATGTGTCGTATTTTAACGCATTCATTTTATTACGCGGATATCTAATATAAAAAAATTATTATATAATTTTATTTATAATATAAAAGTTAAACATTATAAATTATTTTTAAAAATTCAAATTTTAAGAGAAAAATTAATTAATGTTTTTTGTCATATACAGAATGCATTTTTCGAGTAAATAATCTATATATTGCGATCGATATTATTTCAAAATAAATTATTGATACGTACGAAACTAATAACATAATAAAAGTAAGGTACAAGTAATTTCAAGATTACAAATATGCTCGAAACGAGAATAAGCATTTTTGTGATTTTATGCTGAAGCATTTTATCACTAGAAATCCGAGTTCTCTCATTAGAGGACTTGGACGCTGTAATCAAGGTTTTGCGAACACGATTTTGCTGATAAATATGGTATTTTATCAAAGTATTGCAAATTACTATCACGAGAGCAGGTAGAGTAAATATTATAATAGAATCTATAATGTTCCTTGTCTGTGTGTAACTCCTTTCTAAATGTCAAATTTTAGATATTTATACACGCCACACAGCATACATATCCGCGGATATGTATGCTGTGTATATGTATGCTCCGTCCTAAGTCGTTCGGAAGACATCCCGATGATGTCGTATCTCTCAAAGATATTTTCGGGATGTCCTCTGGACGTTTTTTGGATATGTGTGCTGTATGAGACGTCGTACGTATTTTTTTTTATTCAATATTTTATACAGCGTCGTTCCAGAAATAAAAAGAGAATATGTAGAATGCTGCGCAAAATCGCTAGTCCCATCAGTATAATCGCTACGATTTTTGCTCGTTTGACAATGCACCAGGATCAACGAAGTGGATACTTCATCACTGTATATCTCTCGATGGTAAAGGCTACTATAAGCCACATACTCAAGAACTCGGAAAAGAAGCTCAAGAAGTGCATAAAGAACTTCAACCAATACAAATAATTTGTTTTTTATTTTATATCCATTAAAAAGAGCCATTCAATGAGTGATATCGTCGAATAAGTCATGCCGCTTATCGTTGGCACGCTCAAGTAGAATCTATATATTGCGATCGATATTATTTCAAAATAAATTATTGATACGTACGAAACTAATAACATAATAAAAGTAAGGTACAAGTAATTTCAAGATTACAAATATGCTCGAAACGAGAATAAGCATTTTTGTGATTTTATGCTGAAGCATTTTATCACTAGAAATCCGAGTTCTCTCATTAGAGGACTTGGACTCTGTAATCAGACTGTGTTTTTTGAAGTTTGTCGAGATCGCAATGCTATCTGCAAGTCAATCTTTAATGTAAGGAAGAAGTTGTAAGAACCTTATGACTTCATTGATAGGAAAATATCTGTTTACAATATCTTGGTTATACAAATCTTTAAATTTTTCAGTTCTACTTATGTTCACAAATGAGTGAAGCATCCTGATACGTATGGCGAAATTAATGTTGTCGATCATGCTCCGCAAATCTTCGTCAATATCTCTTTCGTTGTTACAAACATGAAATCGTAGTTCGTGTTTTGATACGCTGGATTAATCTTTGCCGGGATTATTTTTAAAAAACATTCTTGCGTATGCTTATGGGTTGTTTGCAACAGTTGCTTATGAGATAAAAAGCAAAAATTGATATAATTAAATTGCGCTACGTGTCTGAAAAAGCGTTATAATTACAGCGTAATTATAAGCGTTACATATATAACGAGACCAACCCATACGGGCGGGTCCCGTACAAAACTTCAGCAATTTCCCGATTTTAATCGTTCAACTGCTTAACATTATCGATGCAAAATCCATAAAAACAGTGAATGTCGAGACGACTGGTTTGGATGACGATTTATTTCTTCCTGGAAGTTTGTGACTTACCAAAATGATAATTTTGACTGGAAAGTTGCTCATATCATTGACATTAGAGTTTCTGCAAAAGCCTGTCGCTGTACTGAAATGTTTATAATAACATTTTAAAACAGCAATAAATATTACTACAAATAATAACAAATAATACAAAAAATTCATTAAAAACAGAATTTTTTATTTTTTTTATAAAAGACATTACAGTGGACATAGGTTTTTTTATAATACTTATGATTACATGGCAACTGTGGTTATCGTATATTACATATTAGATGACTAAAACAATAAAATATTTTATTAGTACTGCTCAATTAATATTAAATTTTAATTTTATTGAAATTTATTTGCTTGCATGCAAAATTATCATATTATTATTTTAGGAACATTCAAATACTAATATTTGTTTTAATCATGGAACAAACATTTCCGGCACATTCAAAATGGTTGATTACTTTTAAACATAAAGAGATGCAATATATATATGTAGAAAGTAAAAATTACAAAACACATTTAAAAGCGTTTATTATATATACAGGGTGATTCATTTGAATGATAACAGGTAAATATTTGCCTGTATACGAGAAATAATGTACATACATATGTCGCTCATTTGCTGCAACAATAACATAATTTAAAATGCCATTTTTGAATAACAGGTAAAGGCAGGTATAGAAAGAACGGTCCTTACTTGTACTGGGACTTGTACTTCACTAGAACAATATTATATTACTGTTGTCCTACACTACAATATGTTATTATAACAATAGTTATTATGACAAATGATGTTCTTATCAAATTATGTGACGATTTATAACATTTAAACTCGTTTTCTGGAAAATCGTGATTTTTCAGTTATGTCACTGTTGCAGCAAATGTGCAATGAGTAGTATGTAAATAGTAAATGTATGTAAATAGTACGCCATTTGTTTCTAATACGTTCTTTTTTTTTTTAAAAATATTTTTGTAATGAATAGATGTCATTTATGTAACTTTGATGATAACAAATTGTCTTTCCATTAAAATCTATAATGTTATAATTTTCCTATTTTAAATAGTAAATCAACTTACACTTCTTCTAAGTTACATAAGCTCACATTTATTAAGAGAATTGATAAAACAGTCAATTTTTTTATGGTACGCCAAAATATTGTACATACTACATATATCTGCATGTTAACAATCTTATTTAATTAATTATATTTTATCTATTTAATTAATTATATTTTTATAAAGTTAAATGTATATTATAATTTCTCGTGTACATTAGGAGTGTTAGCTTCTCGTGAGACACTTTCAGTTGTGTGTTGTTACCAAATACATTGTTTTGTTTAAAGTGCGATTGGACGTAAACTTGCAAGCTGTAACAAAATGCAAAGTATTCTCAAATTGACAAAAAATGGATTAATTTTTGCTTTTATACATTTAATTATAAAAGTCATTGAACAAAAATGGTAAAAGAACTTTTGATTAATGTAATATAATGTAATATAAGTGTGCACATTGTCAACAAATTCGGTAAATTTACACAATAAAGATGTAAAAATTACATGACAAGTAATGTATTAAATAAATAGTATAAAATTTATGAAATTATGTAAATTTGCAATATATATTTACTAAATTTATTTATTATGTAATTTTTACATCCAGGTTTGTAAATTTATCGATTTTTTTACAGTATAGAACGCCGCCTTTAATTATGGTATTACCTTATTATGACTGCATAATTGGGCATCAATCATACTGTTACTTCTAATTGTACATCCTGATGATATTTCTGTTCTTTTTTATTTGTACGTTTCGTAAACATACGGATTAGTTCTCTGCGAAAAGTTTTTCCAGTTGCGCAGTAGAGAACAAAATTTATACTGTAATATGCTGTGTCTAATAAGTCGAATATTGTTTTTATAAATGGTGCATTGACATTAGACATCTGGAAAAATTATTATTGTTATTTTTGTTATATATAACTATTGATAATAATGTGTCGTATTTTACGGCATTCATTTTCTTACGTAGATATTTAATATAAAAAATTATTATACAATTTTATTCATAATGTAAAAATTAAACAGTATAAATTATTTTGAAAAATTTAAATTTTAAGAGAAAAATTAATTAATATTTTATGTTATATTCATTATATATATATATATATATATATATATATATATACAGAATGCATTTATGAAGTAATTAAACTATATATTATGGTCGGTATTATTTAATATTTGAATTAATGATACGTACGTAATTAAAAATGTGAAGAATATAATATGTAGGAATTTAAAAATTACATATATGCTCGAAACGAGAATAAGCATTATTGTGATCCTATGCAGAAGTATTTTATCATTAAAAATCTGAATTCTCCCATTAGAAGAATCAGACGCTGTAATTAAGGTTTTGCGATCACGATTTTGCTGGTAAATATGGTATCCTATCAGAGTATTACAGATTACTATCACGAGAGCAGGTAGAGTAAATATTATAATAGAATCTATAATGTGCTTTGTGTATAGAAATCCATACTGTTTGCCAAGTATTACACTTTTGTACACATTATACATATTGCTGTTTCTTTTATATAATTCATAGTGCATAGTCTTATAAAGAGAAAAAATAAGTAGAATGCTGCGCAAAATCGCTAGTCCCATCAGCGTGATTACTACGATTTTTGCTCGTTTGACAGTGCACCAGGATCGACGTAGAAGCGGATACTTTGTCACTATAAATCTCTCGATGGTAAAGGCTACTATAAGCCACACACTCAAAAACTCCGAAAAGTAGAGCAGAAATTCCAAGAAAATAATTAAGCAATACAAATAATTTCTTATTGGTTTTATATCCATTATGTGGAGCCAATCAATGAGTGATATCATCGAGTGGACGATGTCGCTAATTGCTAATATGCCCAAGTAGATGTTGGACGAGAAAGAACGCATCTTTTTCCGAAAGTGCACAATAGCGGACAAACAGTTTCCTAAAAGACCGAGAATAATAAAAATCGGCAGACAGTACCTTCTGATATTTGAATTGGTGATCGAACTATTTACAATTACATGGTACAGCTCAAAAACAAAATTAAATTCATTTCTGACGTGAGTGATGGGAAAATGTCTGCCTACAATATCTTCGTTACATAAATCTTGGAATTTCTTAATTCTACTTATATTCACAAGTGGATGATTCATCATGGTCTTCTGACTTCTGTCGATAAAAACGTGAATAAGATATACAGCCATGCTACGTAAACTTTCGGCAAGATCTCTTTCGTTGTTACAAACACGCAATCGTAGTTTGTGTTTAGATATGCTGGAATAATCTTTGCCGAGATTATTTTCGGAAAGCATCCTTGTATATGATTATGGATTGTTTGCAACAGTTGCTTATGAGATGAAGAGCAAAAAGCGATATAATCAAATTGCGTCACGTGTCTGAAAAACGTTTTAACGTTATTATATATATTATTCATTGATACCTTGCATATAAATTTTATTTATCGGTATATTTATTCAAATTATTTTTTTATTAAAAAAATAAAATATGCGAAATATACAGCATTTTAAACATTTAAAATAAAATGTGTCACGGACTATCTCACTTACCTGAGAGTCGTTAATATTCTGAAGTCGACGAATACGGGGGTTATAAACTCTCAACAATTCCCAAATTTTAATCGTTCAACTGCTGAACACTAACGATTGCAAAAGACTGAATGTCGAGACGACTGACTTGGATGACGATAATATATCTTCCTGGAAGTTTGTGGTTTTCCAAAACAATTAATATTTTGATTGTAAGGTAGCTCATATCCGTGACATGAATTTCTGTAGGAATCTGTTGCTCTACTGTAGTATTATATTTATAATAATATAACTGATTTGGAGGGCGATATTTATTTTTTTCTCCTAAAAATTTGTGCCCTACCAAAATTATTAACATTTTGACAATAATGTTGTCCATATCCGTCGACAGATAAGTTCCGCAGAAACCTGTCGCTCTACAAAAGTATTAGCTATATCATTAGAGAATCAGTAAATATTATTAAAATAATACATGAGATTTATTAAGAACATTACTTTTTATTATTTTTATGTAAGATATTATATTGAATATAGTTTTTTATTAGCATAATAATTATGATTACATGGTAATTCTAGTTATTGTACATTGCGTATGAATGATTTGAACAATAAAATATTTTATTTTGTACTGTTTAATTAATATTATCATATATTTTTAGTTTTATTGAGACTTAGACACTTGTATGCAAAGTTATCGTGTTACTATTTTAGGAAAATTTTGATACTAGTATTTGTTTTAACATTAGAACAATATTACGGCCTGTATTACTGGGTTGATGGTTGCTTTCTTGTTTTGACAACTATTTTCGATATCAGATACAAATATAATTTATGTCAGTAATGTAAGTATATCGGTCAAAAATGCTCACAATATGAAAGGAAGCAGTATGTGCATGTAACAAATAAAAATTACAAGGCATCTGTAAAAGCATTTATTACATAGAATAAAATAACAAGCACATGCGTAGTAATTAAAATGATGGAACATGTACATATATGAAAGGGGTTCAATTGCTTACATTCCTATTTGCTAACAGCTTCGTTTGCCCACAACATTTTGCCGACAGCTTCAATTGCCGACATTCCCGATTGCCTACAGAGCGATTGCCTACAGAGCGATTGCCTACAAGCATTATTGCGCACATTTAAAAATTAAAAATACAAACGTACCTACATTTGCACACAAGACATTATAGCACACATACACATTGCACACATGACATTATTTCGCACACACACATTGCACACATAATATTATTGCGTACATACACATTGCACACATAATATTATTGCGGACATAAAATAAAAAAATCGTATTAACACTTTTTGCATAGAATATTATTGCCCACATACAGATTGCACACATGACTTTATTGCGCACATACACACAATTGTAATGCACATATAAAATACGAAAATCATATTAACACTTTGTACACAGGATATTATTGCGCACATACACATTGCGCACATGACATTATTGCGCTTTGTGTAGAAACTCGTAAACCCATGTTGAGCCTCGCTTTGTTTGAAATTTCACGCGTAGGTGGCCCTACGGGGCGAAGCCTCTCCCCCGCGTAAAACAAATAACAAATCAGGTTATACCTAACAAGATAAACCTAACAAGGTTAACCAAGATTCACAAACAAAGTTGTAAACCCATGTTGAACCTCGTTTTGCATGAAAAGAATATGCGCAATAATATTATGTGTGCAATGTGTATGTGTGCAATAATATCTTGTGTGCAAACGTACGTTTGTATTTTTAATTTTTAAATGTGCGCAATAATGCTTGTAGGCAATCGCTCTGTAGGCAATCGGGAATGTCGGCAATTGAAGCTGTCGGCAAAATGTTGTGGGCAAACGAAGCTGTTGGCAAATGGCAATGTAGGCAGTTCAACCCCTCTCAATAAAAGCAATATGTATATGTAATAAGTAAAAATTATATAACACAATTAACCCATTAAAGCCCATAGCTAAATCAGCGAGGATAGCAAACAAATAACAATTGGAAATAGAACCGCAGTGTGAAAAAAGGTTAGTGACATAAAAAGCACTGCAAGAATTAATTTTGCAACTAATTGTTATAAACAAATTAATAAAAATTAACTGTAGAAAGAAACTGATTACGCCAATCGATTCTACGGGAAAAAAATACAAGAAAAAGTCATATATGTTTCTTTTGTATTTTTGGGTAGAGTTCCAAAAGAGTCAACCCTCCGATTTTGCTTTGTTTGGTATACTACTGTATTTTGGTGCGCTAATTATAAATATAATAATAAAAATTACCGACAAGGTCATTTTCTTGATCAAAACTAAAAAAAACTCAAAAATCATCATTTTTTAAACATTATTTTGATAAATATTGATGTAACAAAGAAATGTTTCAAATAAAAGTTGTAGCTCTCGAAAAAATACATCATTTATGTTCTATGCATTTTTTGCATAGAAGCAATATTTTTTGAAAAAAAATGAGATAATAGGAAAGACACTCCCACTGCATCCAGGCATACACTTTACAACGCGAAGCAAGGTTCTACATGGGTTTGCAACTTTCTCCACAAAGCGAGGTTTCAACTCAAACCTATGTGTATAGTTTTTTGATGGCGGAGCCTCCCGCAGGGGGGCGGAACAAACTGCATAGTGCGGGAGAGTGTCTGTCCTATTATCTCATTTTTTTCAAAAAATATTGGTTCTATGTAAAAAATGCATAGATTACAAATGATGTATTTTTTCAAGAACTACAACTTTTATTTGAAACATTTCTTTGTTACATCAATATTTATCAAGATAATGTTAAAAGAAACGATAATTTTTGAGTCTTTTTAAGTAGTTTTGATTTTGAAAATAACCTTGTCGGCAATTTTCATGATCATATTCGTAATTAGCGCACTAAAATACAGCAGTATATCAATCGACAGCAAAATCGGAGGGGTGACTCCTTCGGAACTTTATCCGTATTTTTTTCCCGTACAATTGATTGGCGTAATCAGTTTTTCTCTATAGTTTATTTTTAATAATATGTTCATAATAATTACTTGCAAAACTAATTTTTGCAATATACTTTTTATGTCACTAACGTTTTTTCACTCTTCGGTCCTATTTCTAATTGTTATTTTTTTGCTAATCTCGCAGGTCTAGCCATGGGCTTTAATGGCTTAAAAGCGTTTATTATATTTACAAAAAGAAACGATATGTACAGGGGCGAATTTCCCATTAGGCTGGATAGGCTATAGCCTAGGGCGGCAGATTTTAGGGGGCGGCAAATTTTCAATTTTTGAATTAAAAAAAATTTATTAACACTCGATTTATATTCGAAATACATTCTGATTTTCATCAAAAGAGTCATAATATAAATATGTTCGTGATCACTACTGTTAAAGAGCGTATAAAGTGCTATTTTTTCCGGCGTTTTCGGCGAAATTTATTTTCCGTTTTTCTCCTCCAATTCTCAACCGATTTTGCTAAAATTTTTTTGTTGAGTTTTTTTAATATTAAAAATTTTTTTACGTTCTTTACATTTCTGGCTTTATATGCTCGGGGTAACATTAAATATTATAGAAAAAATGTCAACAAAATCGGTTGAGAATTGGAGAAGAAAAACTGGAAACGCGCGCGCGCGAGAGAGAATGTGCATATGCATGTGAGTTTCATTTGTTTGACGCGTGCTCGAATTCGAAAAACAATAGAAAAACAAAGAATAGGGATAGACGAGATGCTGGCGCATTAATCTACAGAAGGAGCGAGCGACTCAACACTCAATTGTCATTGCAAACAGTGAATAAGCAGCGAAGAAATACATTTTTAAGAATCAACCTTTTTTCTGTGCCTTTTTTTCCTCAGTACATTCAATAGCATAAATGTATGGTATTATTATGCGAATTACGTTCCAGTAAATAGTTCCAGAATTGTTTTAGGTATGTATAATAAATCAGAAAAAATTTAGAACATTTTTTTTAAACTGAAAAAAGTAATTATTTAAAAATATTTTTTGTGCAATTATTAGAAACTGATATATATTTATAAATTTATACAGATCTATTTTTTACAAAGTTCAACGATGAGTGACGGAAGAAAACGATTAAGCGGTTATCAATTCAGAAAAAATGCTAAAGAAAAAAGGGAGAAAGAAGAAAAAGTATTGAAAAAAACTGCTACACTAGAATCATTTTTTTCAAAATCTAACAATACTAGTGTTGCTTGTGCTAGTACAAGAAATGATAATAGTGAAACAGAAGCAGTTGAACGTGATATTATCATAAATCAGTCCACGACTACAGTTTGCGAGGAAGAAAATGACATAATAATAAAAAACGTAGAAACAACAACGATAAACGAGATCGTGAGTACATGCGATAAAGACCCGGCTAAATGGATATTAAATGAATCAACTCGCGATTATTTTGCTGTCAACAGATTTGTACAAAATAAAGATGTTGATTTAAAATTATCAAAGCGAGAATATTCTGATCAAGCACGCTATTTTTTATCGAGTTTATTTCAACGTAAATTATTAAATGGTGAAAAAAGTTTAAGAACGTGGCTCATATATTCTGAAAGTACAAATCGTGTATTTTGTGGACCATGTCGATTATTAAATTTGGATAATTATTTTGCAAAAGAAGGTTTCAATGACTGGAAAAATATGATCAAATCTATAGAATGTCACGAAAATTCCAGTTTTCATAAATCATCTATATTAACTTTAAAAATAAGAGGAAACAAAATAGGACAAGCTGATAAAACGTTGATAAAGCAGTTAGATGATGAAATATCTTATTGGAGAAAAGTGTTAGAAAGAGTAGTAGCTGTTATAAGGTCACTTTCTTCCTGTGCACTTTCACTGAGAGGTCACGAAAAAAGTTTGGATCACCCAAAAATGGAAACTTTCTTATGGCACTGGAATTGATCTCACAATTTGACCCTTTTTTGGCCGAACATATTAAAAGATATGGTAATCCAGGTAGTGGGCACACTAATTATTTATCTGCAACGATTTATGAAGAATTAGTTCAGCTAATGGCCAAGAAGACACAAGAGACTATTCTTGCGGAAATTAAAAAAGCGAAATATTATTCTGTGATAGTAGACTCGACCCCCGATATATCACATATTGATCAGTTGTCTTTTATTATAAGATATGTTCAAGAATGTGGTTCACCAGTAGAACGTTTTATTACGTTTCTTCCAAATACAGGACACAAATCACAGGAATTAGCAGAAACCGTCAGTAAAACACTCATTGACTTGGATATTGACATATCTAATTGTAGAGGCCAATCTTATGATAATGCTGCTAATATGTCTGGTGCTTATTCGGGACTTCAGATAAGAATCAAAGAACTAAATCCTTTAGCTGAGTATGTACCATGTGCTGCCCATTCTTTAAATCTTGTAGGAACCTGTGCCGCAAGTTGTTGTACTGAAGCAACAAATTTTTTCGGTGTCCTCCAGGAACTTTTTAATTTTTTCTCGG